TGAGCAATTTTTCTATGGTTTCATTTTGGTAATTTCACAGAATAATTGCCAGTTTAAACGCATCAGTTTTCTAAGAGTGTCCTGGCCACGTCAGTAGAGAAAGCAAGCAGGTTTTAAACAACCAAATCACATTTGAACACATTCATTGTTTTAAAACTTGTCTAAAAAATATAGAAAATATCTATTTAAAAACTCCAAATTAAGTTAATAATATACAGAATGTTGTAACTGTTTCCAAGCCTTCCAATGTTTTTCTAAAAAGCTAGAAAAGCTTAAGTTTTAGGTCTTTCTGAAGCTGGTTCCAGGCAAAGTAAGCTGCATGTGAAAAAAAGCATTTTTTTCTCTTGTTTCAGTACTTGCCCTTTGAGCTTAAAATAAAAAAAGCTCTTGAGAGCAAAACTGTAAGACTCCAAACTCCTCAGCTGGACAAGAGTTGAGAGGCACAAGGGAAGTAGACCAAGTAGCTTTGTAAACAGTTACATGCCAGTGTCTCAGCCTTTGTAAGGAGAATTATGACCAACCAACATGTTTATACAACAAACAATGATTAGTTAGTGATCTGGATGTATGATGGACCTCAAGGCACTGTGATATAGTCCATTAGTAGCACAAGGATTCTAAGAGGAGGCATGCATGTACAGGACATTTCCATAATCTAAAACTGACATGAAGGAAGCAACAGCCATTTTTTTTTATCTGAATGAAGACATGATTTTAACCAGAAAGAAAAAACTAACTTTAGCTTCAGTATTTTCACCAGCTGCTGAGTATACCCACTAAAAACAAGAGACTCTTCAATGAAAAAAGTAAGATGTCTGTTCTTTGACACAAACTTAATGTGAGAACCCTGCAAAGTTGCAGTTCTCTAATTATGTCTCTGTAGTTAAGAGAAGCTTGATTTTTATTTTGTCTTCATTCAGCAGGAGTTTTAAAACATAAAGGAACTGTTTTTTTTTCTGAGCCATATTAAAAACCAGTTGTAACTTGATAATTGCCTGGATTGGAGGGCTGAGGGCTGTGCAATATGTCACAGTGTCATTAGCATATCTAGAAATGTTGCTTTGGGTTATTGATAAAAAAGGAAAAGAAGAATAGAATCAAAAATCCTTTTATCCCTCAAAAGCTATCATTAGTGGAGCAACGATTCACGATTCACCATGACGACAGACAACAGGAAGTGCCAATGTCACACCACTGGAACTAGATATTTTAATGCAGAAATAAAAAAATGAAGAATGTGTTTAAACGACGGAGCAACAGTGCTGCAGCTGCAAAGGAGTGGGAGAAGATTGCTTCTTGAGTTAATGTGTGGGTTTATATGAAAAATCAGCCGAAATTTAACACACCTGCCCCCTATGCACACCTGAGACCTAATCCGTCACATGACAACTATTTTGACAGGAATTCGTGGTTTGCAGCTTAAATATTTATTGATGTTTATGGGACTTATTTTGAAGGGACAGCAAATTACACTGTTGTGTTTTGCTGTACCGAAGTGTCAAATCTTCAGATTTGTCTCTTCAAAAATATAACTGATACGGATGTACGTTTTTTATACTTCTTTGTTTCTTGAAATCTATTTCTTAAAATCCAAGACATCTTGTCTCTACTTCCTTTGACTTTCTGTGAAATATCATTATTCTTTTGTGTGTTTCTCATACAGAACCTCATCAATAACCTCCCAAAGGAATTCCACAAACAGAGCCCTTACTATGTCTGCTCGTTTTACTTCTCCATCTAGATATAAACACTATTAGAGGAGCTGAAAGGTTGTTTACTGGTCTGGGAAGGGTAATTCATTTTAAGCTTTATATATTCGATGCAGCCTTCGTTGTGTGTCTTTAAAAAAAGAAAAAAAAAGACCCACACAATATATTTTGGGAGTTTTATCCATCATTTTGATAACAGACATGAATTACGTCTTAGATTATGCTGGTTTGAGACAGACTGAGTCTATTTTGGGGCACATTTGGAGTCTTTAGCAAATTTAGAGGTCTGCCACTATTTAGAGGAAATAACACGAATGGGAATTGTGCTTTGTTTTGTATGAAGCTGTGACATTGATTCAGTTCAGGGTTCATGAGAAATTTATGTTACCAGAAAAAGCTAAGAACTGATGATGCAGTGAGTACATGTGTGCATCATTCTTGAGCGGGTCCAAGTTTATTTATATTGATTTTAATTTGAAATGCATCCAGGCCAGCTTTTTCTCTGTTTAGACAGTCATTGCTCATGGAAAATTGGAAGTATTAAAGAATGCAATCTCTGCAATACCCTTAAAGGTAAAGTATGTCCAGAAGATGCAGGGTCCACAGCAATCTCTTTTTCATGATTTATTAGGGTTATTATTGGCAATGGAGTTCTTTCTAGCTTTAAATTTTGCAGTGACAGATGTAGTTATTGGGGTCACTCAGTCAGAGACAAGGTTAGAAACAAGGATAATTGATATATTTGTTATTTTCAACGAATAAAATAAAAAATAAATAAAATACAAAAAATGTTAAAGCTGCTATTTTGTCTATAAACAGATTTTATTCAAATTTTATTGCAATTAATCACTAATGCAATATATATATCTATATGTCTATATAGACAAAAAAAATATATAAATAAAAACTCTTCCTCACCCATCGCAGGTGGTATTTCCCCCCTTTTCCCTCCAACCTCAGGTCCTCTAAGGCCTGGGAGCTTCAGGGTTCTGCGCAGTATGTTTGCTGTTCCTAGCTGGACTGAGATGTCTGATGTATTTCCAGGGATCTGCTGTAACCACTTCTCCAGTTTGGGAGTCACTGCCCTGAGGGTCCCAATGACCACGGGTACCACTGATGCCTTGACCTTCCAGGTTTTGTCCAGCTCTTCTCTTAGCCCCTGGTATTTCTCTAGTTTTTCATTTTCTTTTTTCCTGATGTTGCAGTCACTTGGTATTGCTATGTCAACCACAACGGCTTTCCTCTGCTTTTTTTCCACCACCGCAATGCCCAATTGGTTTGCCATTATCATTCGGTCTGTCTGTACCTGGAAGTCCCACAGGATCTTGGCTCGGTCATTCTCTACCATCTTTGGAGGTGTTTCCCACTTTGACCGTGGGGGTTTCTATCCCATATTCTGCACAGATGTTCCTGTACACTATTCCAAACACTTGGTTATGGCGCTCCATGTAAGTTTCCCTGCCAGCATCTTATACTCTGCAGTTATGTGCTGGATTGTCTCGGGGGCCTCTTTGCACAGTCTGCACCTGGGGTCTTGTCTGGTATGATAGATTTGGGCCTCTATTGCTCTGGTGCTTAGGGCCTACTCCTGTGCAGCCATAATGAGTGCCTCTGTGCTGTCCTTCAGTCTGGCTTTGTCTAGCCATTGGTAGGATTTCCTGATATCTGCCATGTAGATTATGTTTTTTGGTGGTACATCTCATTTAGGGGCTTATCCTCCCATGACAGAGTCTCTGGAATGTCATCTACTGTTCCACATTGTCTGACACATTCACTGAGGATGTCGTTTGTTGGAGCCCTGTCCTTGATGTACTTATGGATCTTGGATGTTTCATCCTGGATAGTAGCTCTTACGCTCATTAGTCCTCGGACTCCTTCCTTAAGCCTGGCATACAGTCTCAGGGTGCTGGATTTGGGGTGGTACCCTTCGTGAATGGTTAGGAGCTTTCGTGTCTTAACATCTGTGGCCTGTACCTCCTCCTTTGGCCAGCTTATTATTCCTGCATGTTATCTGATTACTGGCAGAGTGTAGCTATTTATTACCCCAGACT